GGATCTATCAGTTAGCTTTGACCAGAACTTCTGGTCCCAAACTTGTTTAAAAACGTTTAAAATGATCAGACACCCCAATTTACAATTAATTCAGTACAAAATTCTACACAGAGTACACTATACAGGTCATCGGATGTTCAAGATGGGGTTTGTGTCATCTGACGCATGTACACACTGCACAAACAGCATTCCTGACAATTACATTCACGCACTGTGGTCCTATCCACATGTCCAGGAATTTTGGGGTAGAGTATGTGAGGATCTGTCAAAAAATATCTTAAATGTCATATCCCAACTTCCCCCTCTCTTTGTTTACTGGGAAACCTGGACATTGTCCCAATTGAAACATCTTTGGTTCACGTGGTTCTGACTGCCATATGCATCGCTAAGAAAACTATCCTCTTGAATTGGAAAATCTTGAATTAGAAAAATAGAGAAACTCTGCATTAACCAGTATAGAAATCTTTTGTTAGATCATATTGCACTTCATTTAGCCTCTGCTTCTACTTCAAATCAATCTCTGGGCTCCTTTGATCGGTTCCATCACATAGCGATGATGGGGGACCGTTGATGTTGTCCTGCGGGATGATGGGGGGGGGGCTGAGTTTGGAGTATCCGGATGTCCCCTGGAGGTGGGTTTACTGGGGGTGTCTGGGACTGGGGGGCCGTTGCGCCCCTCTGAAGGTGCTTGGGTTGCCTCGGGGGGTGGACTACTGGCGGTTGTGAGTGGGGCCCCTTGGAGGTCTTGGCGGCGGCCATGGGTCACTGCCTGGCAGCTGCATTGCCCCTGGGCGGGTCTGTGTGGGGGCCTGGGGGCTTGGGGTGTGGGGTTGGCCGGCCCCATGTGGGGACCTGGGCGGGGCCTTGGGGGTCGGGTCCTGACATGTATGCTGCCGGGAAGAAGGCAGGAATATGCAGCAGTGCCTGGCCCGGGTTCAGGGGCCTCGGATAGACCTTGGCGCCTCTGTTGTTCCATCACAGGGGAGGGGGAGGTCCAGGAGGGGGAGGACCCAACCTTACCTGGATGTCCTATGTCATATATTCTGGAAGTTGTGCAAATGCAGGGATGGGCATAGATATTCTGCTGGGGTGGGGCTGGGTTGGTGCCCTCGGACTCCGTGAGACTCTGTAATGCTGCTGCTTTGGGCCCTGGCAGGATGGGCTGGGGTCTCCATGCCATGGGTGGCAATTTGACAACAGAGGTGCCTATTGGGGCCAGTGGGGGAGCTGGCCCCCTGGAGGGCTAAGCCCAACCAGCCATTCCTCCCCATCCCCGCACATTTCTCTCCTCCTGCTCCCTCATCATCACACAAACATACACATAGGACCTTGGGGGTGGACAAGTCAGGGAGTGCGGGTATGGACCCCATTTCTGCATTCCTGTGGCAACCTGCCCCCCAATTTTATTTGCACCTTATACACTTCTACCAACGACATTCCACACAAACACACACTCAGGGCCTTGGGAGTGAGCACATTCAAGGCACTTGGCAGGGGGATTTCTCAGCCTCCTCCCGAGTGTCGGTGCCCACGTCCAATTTTAAACTGCACTTAGACACAGAGGGCTGTGGGTGCAAGTGGGGTGATGTGGTGGCATCAGCTGGCATAGGCCGGACAATGCCCGCACTGCCCGCTCACCACAGCCATGGAGTACACCTCATCAACACACAACACTATAATGGAGCAGGCGGAGGGAGACTAGGGGTCTTAGCACACCTCTGTTGTTGCTTGGCTTCCTGGGGCTGGAGGCTAGGAGGGTGATCTTGCCATCTGGTTGGGGTCTGGGGTGGTGGGTTGCTGGGCTCAGCGTTGGGCGGAGTAGCCTGCTCATCAGCACCCCAGCAGAAAGGGTCAAACTCTGGTAACCAGTGATTGGTTGTACCCAATGTGCAGCAGTACCGGGACAAGAGTGAATAGTGTGTGTATGGGGAGCATGAGTGGGTGTCCGGCATGCATTTTTGTAAGTCTTTTGTTGTATGTGCATGTGTGAGCATGAGGGAGGGAGTGTGTGACTGTGTTTGTGTATGACTGTATATGTCAGGTGGGGCCTTTGACTCCTCCCCTCTCCTGGGACTTCTTTTGAAGATATAGATCTTCGTCTCCCCTCCCCCTGCCACACCTGGTGTGGGGTGTGGTGCCTTGGTCTGCCTGAGTGTTCGTGGCTCCCAGGTCAGGGGGTTTAAGATTTTTGGCATCTGCTTGATCAATCCCGGTGGCTGCGTGGTGGGGTCTGGGTCACTGGGCTCTGCTGGGTCCCCGGCGGGGGTGGTCACCCCTGGGTCCCGGGTCACTGGGTCCCGGGCTCAGCCGGCTAGGGGGTGCTCTTCTGTCTGTGGGCTTGCTGCTGATATCTCCCAGGACTCTGCCGGCTGCTGGTTGTGGCCCCCCGGGGCGATCCTCTGTGCCTCTTGAGGGGGGCGGGGGGCTTTCTGGTTGCAGTCTCCTTGGGGTTCCTGTGTTCTGGGGCAGCGCCTGGATCTCTGGGACTTGGAGCTCCCCCGGCTCCTACACATCTTTGGGGGGGGCGGATCTGTGGTCCCTCACACTCTCTATTGGACGCTCCTATAGAGAAATCTTACATAAACAAGCACGTGTACACACACAGGTGCTCACATGGTGCTCTCAAAAGTATGGGTTTGGGCACGTTCAACACTTGTCTTGAGGCTGTCGTTGCCACTAAATGCACTATGATTTATTATCGTGTGATTGTTCAGTTAAACAATGTTGATTTTATATTTCATCATCAGGTTGACGCAGGGATAGCTTGCTCCTGATGTATTGTTGTGTGTCCCATTTTTTCTGCTCTTTCTCTTTCTGCAGGTCTAGAAGCAGACTCTTGTTCATTGTTTATTTTTGTGGACCCCCCCCCCCCCTCCCTCCCCCCTCTCTTCCCACCTTTTGTCTTTTCCTTTCTCTTTCACCTCTGTCTCCATGTCTGGTCGGAATTACAAAGCATTCAAAAACAATAACAATAAAGTTTTATGTATCAGGCATGACATTAAAAGCAGAGGCTTTGATGCTCCACCTGAGAGTAAATCTGTAAGGCTTGTTACCAGCATTCAGACATCAATTCTGTTTGCTTCACAGCCAGACAGGACACGGTAAAAAAAAAAAATAGAAAAAAAAAAGAGTTATTCCTGAGACGCTGTTGTGACCTGGAGACATCCCGAGACCGGTCTAGTCGGCACTGCGGTTTCGTCTACGGACTTCGGTACCTCTGGGGTTCCCGGACCTCAACACATTCCGGATCTACCACGGGGCTCTTCGAGGGTACGTAGACTCGACAGATTGCATCTAATGTGTTTTTAATAAGAACCAACTTTGTTAGTTTAATGCAGACCAAATTCATTCCCACTCAGAACTCAGTTTCTTCAGATATGAGGGTTCTGATAACATCACATTCACACATCATCACACCTCACATTCCATCCACTTAGATCCATTCATGGTAAAAATGGCCTGTATTTGATATAGCGCCTTCTAGAGTCATGGAACCCCCCAAGGCACTTTACAACACAATCAGTCATTCACCCATTCACACACATTCACACACTGGTGGGGATGAGCTACAATGTAGCCACAGCTGCCCTGAGGCGCACTGACAGAGGCGAGGCTGCCGAGCACTGGCGCCACCGGTCCCTCCGACCACCACCAGCAGGCAACGTGGGTTAAGTGTCTTGTCCAAGGACACAACGACAGCGGCAGACTGAGCGGGGCTCGAACCTGCAACCTTCCGTTTACGGGGCGAGCACTTAACTCCTGTGCCACCATCGCCCCACATCACATAAAGTGTCCGAGTTGTCATGTTTTAATTGTTTAGAAAATGCATTTCTTACTTTTTATAAACTTGACTCTCTTCTTGAATTAATACGAAGTGTCTTGCAATCCCTGAATAAACAAAGAATTCTAAATCTTCTGGGTAAACATTTAAAGACCATTCAGACTGGATTTCCATATTTATATGGAAATTCACATCAGATTGGTCAAAGTGTAGAGTGGTACATCAAGCTTTAAAAGCACCCAACTACATACAAATGTTACATCCTACATGAATCTCCCCCACGAGTTTTTTTTTCACAATCCTCAATAGGGTGTGGTAATCCCTATTGCTTGTATACTTTTTTCTACCATGTCTTGTCCTTCCATTCATGTCTCCATTAATGTGCTCGGACACAGAGCTCGGTGAACAGCCATCCTTTTAGCAATCGCCTTTAGTGTCTTGCCCTCCTTGTGCAAAGTGTCAATGGTTGTCTTTATGGACAACTGTCAAATCAGCGGTCTTCCCCATGATTGTGTAGCCTACAGAACTAGACTGAGAGACAATTTAAAGGATTTTGCAGGTATTTACAGTTAATTAGCTGATTAGAGTGTTGCACCAGGAGTCTTCAATAGTGAACCTTATCCCAATATTCTAGTATTCTAACTTACTGAATTAGAATCTTCATTATTTGTCAGTTATAATCATAATTAAATAAATAAACATTTGAAATATATTTGTCTGTGTGTAATGAATGAATCTAATATACAAGTGTCACTTTCTGAATGACATTACTGAAATAAATCAACTTTGTCATGATATTCTAATTTCATAAACAGCACATGTACCATGAAAACTTCAAACAAACAAGAACCTTTCAATCACAGTTTGCAATTTAGTAGTTGCTGTTTTCATTATAATTACAAAAAAACTTTCTAGTGCTTCTAATGGTTTCCATTAAGGTTGGAATCAGCTTCCTTAAAAAAGGAGAAACAATTTTATCTTAAGAATGTTTCATGGTTGGTTTGATGTATCCCCATAACAAGCCTTCCTCCAATATATATTAAGAAAATTGAAATTGTATATCTCCCCTGAAAGCCTGAGTCTGAATTCCTAATCAGAGAAAAATGTGGTTTAATTCATAATAGTGTTCTTGCAGCATTAGATAAAACTGTTCTGCACAGCTAGCACCGTGCAGTTCTGCTTTCAGCGATGAATGAACATATTCACCCAGTAAAAGACAGACAGTTAAAGAGATTTTAATGTGCTTGTTCATACAGTATATTGTATGCATATCCAGCATAGCATTTCTCATACATATAACTCTCTTATATCCATGGTTTGAAACGTAGAGCTGAGAGGAAGATTAACAGTCAGTCTACCATAACATTATGTCTGCCACACAGTGATGGCACAGCACAGCTGCCTAACAGGCTCAGTTTGTACTCACATGGCATAATATTACCCATTTGGGTTGCTTTTAACTGAATTCTCCATCTGTAGAAAGTAATAACACAGAGAAACATATATCTAAAAACAATAAGGTCTGCTGAGGATGAGCACGTTATTTACAGAAAAGAAAACAGAAAAACAAATGTTAACAAAGTTGGAAAATATGTCAGAGAAGTCCTCCATACTCTAAACTGTTCATAACTCTTTATATACATTATTTAGATCCACAATTCACAGCAGTTCAGAGGGAAAATAAATGTGTCCGCTGCTTTTTCATCGTTATCAATGTATGTATCATTTTCATCGTTCTTCCAATCTTCGCCGTGATTATTGTCTTTCTCTCTCCACTCGCTTGAGTCTCACTTGTTCATCCAAAATAAGGGCGCTCACTTTGGAAGTTGTAGTCTGGGCACACCTTTTGAACAAGCTTGTAGTCGATGCTTAAAAAAGAAATGAAGATACAGATGACCTTGAAGGGTTTGGCGCAGAGCCAGGCAGCGTGGGACTGAGTGTGCTCTGTGAAGCAGGTCTGGGACGGGTCATACAGGCAGGGTTTGGATTTCTTCGATCTGTCGGTTTTCTCGTACTCCACCCTACAGTTGAGGGTCTTCCCCTCTTTGGGGTCGATGGTGGACTGCTGCGTGTCCTGGATCTGGATGTCCTGCTGGGTGTGAGGGTGTAGCTGAGGCTGCTGAAGAACCTCAAACTCGACCACTTTGGAGGGAGGCACGATGCTCACCGACACGTTCCCCAGGCTGGATGAGTTGTGGCGGAAGTAAACGGTGAAAGTTCCATTGATGTGGTCCACGATCTTCCCTGTCACCAACAAGCTGAACTTCACTGTCTTAACGCTGAAATAAAAGTCTCCCCAGCCAAAGATCTTCTTGGTCTTCATGTTGGTTTTTAGGGATGGCTTGCGTTTGGAGCGGTAGCCTGTCTGATCGAGCAGCAGGGATTGGTTTCGGCCTGAGTCGTATGGGTTGTAGAAACTGTACGTAGGTGGTTTGGACTTCAAGGGCGACTGGTCAATGGATGTGGAGAATATACGTGTTTGATATGGAGGTTTCACAACTCCGCCAGCTGCTCCTCCACCCATGCCATATGGCAGAGTCTTCATGACTGACCCAACAGGGCCCAAATCTGACAAGTCCACTTGCTTCTCCAGTCCCTGGACCTGAAGCAAACACAGACAAAAAGGAAGAAAAAAAGATTATTTGCCATTTTTTTGGTCACAAACAAACATACCATAAATATAAATGATCTAAATGTAATTAAAGAAATGTTTGGTTTGAAGGTGCACCTCACAGAATTAAAATATGTGGTTAGAAATAGTTTTTTTCACAGGAAATCCTTATTTATAACTAAATTTTTGAGCATGAACCCAATCTCAACCAGTGTCACAAAAGGTTTCAACTAATAATATTACACTGAAATAGGTTATTTCCTTAAGTTCTAATATATCCAATATACTAAATGTAAATAAAACAGGTTTGCAATAGAATGATGATATTATTCCGTAGAAAATACATTTTATTCATAATTTTTTAAAATGACGAATCTAAATTAATAATCTATCAAAAAACTTTATTTCAAATATAACGTTTAACCCTTTTATTTAATCATCACAGCTGAAATCAGAGTTGAATAAAGAACCTGTTAGCAGGACTTGGCTGATTTGATCTCTTTTGAAGTCTATCCACATAAAACCAAGCATACATCATGTTTAATAATTCTGTTGTGTCTCATTTGATTTTACATAATTTCCCACACTCTTTAAAGTTACAGAGGTCACTTCTCTGTACTCGTCTCTTTCTCTCTCCTTTTTTCCACCTCACGTCATTTTTCTATCCTCAAGCATCCCAGTTGTTAAATGTCTCCACGTTTCATCTCCTGCATTCAAGAAAACAAAACCATATATTTTTGCTAACACACTTTAATTTTGTTGTCAGAGTTGCTCGAGAGAAGAAAAAACAGCTTTGCGTGTAAGGTAATGGATGTGGGTCTTTGTTCAGACAGCGTTCTGCCTTTAATCCACGCTCTCTGTGGTTCTTCGCAGGACTGATTGACTGGAAATCTTGGTCTGCTTTCTTTTATGTCTCATCAATCACATCACTGCCATCTATATGCATATGTGTACACACATGCAGCACAGACACAACAGCACACCATTTGCACATGCACAGGCTTCTAGCTTGAAGCTGTCATGAAGTGACAGTGAGAATTATTACAACTATTGAGAGGGGGTTACATTCGCTTCCCCCCAAGGATGCATTTGGATGGAGTTTTAAACTATTTTCTTAGTGGAAAAACAACCCCATACCTCAAGACAAAAACAGCGTTTCAGGACTGCAGGATTAGATCTTTGCGTGTGCTCATGCAAGGAGAGCTTCTGTGTTCCATCACTCCTATCCGAGGCAGAGAAACCGACAGGCTTGTGCTTGCCTCATTTTCATCAATCACGGAGCCTAATAACACCCACATATTGCTTTTCATAGAGGTAAAAGTACAGCACTCAATACGGCTCCTAATGTATTCGGTCATTCAATTAAACTATCTCTATTTCGGCTCGCCGTTCATTAACATGGCTGCAGAGCTGATTTCTCAGCAGATTGATTGGGGGGAAAATAACAGAAAGTTTATTGACCGTTGGAGGAATGAATTGCCAACAAAGAAAGGTTTTGATAAATGACATGTGACTGGGATAATGTCTCACTGCAGATTTTTAACACACCCCATTCCCTTTTGTGCCATGACAGAAGCCGTATGCAGAGGTCTTGCAATTTTAAGCTGGCGAATGTATGATGTGTGCTGACTTTGGCATTGACAGGTAGGAATAAGCTTGGGTTGATGGCAGAGGAAAAAAAACATCTGAATATATACAGCAACAAACAGTGTGCACAGTGCATGCAATATGGGGACTTCCTGTGAACGCGCTGTCAGCAGTGCTGTCAGCTATCTCCGTGTGTTGCCATCTGTCAGGCTAACACTCTGCTGGTGCAGTCCTAATCATTTCTCTAGTGTACAGCACCGAGCAGGAAGTAGCATGATCATCATAATCCTTAGCCATCCTCAGAAGAAGCATCGCAACGTGAACCTCAACCTAACCTTCAGGGTCAACGGTGTGAAGCTAAAAGCATGGAGCCCGAGGCCGGTGTGAGTCTGACCAAAGATTTGAAAAGCAGCTGTTCACAGTCAGCAACTTCAGCAAACATCGATAGATGGGTAAAAGATGAGAACGGAGGAAGAGCCTCTTCATCTGTGGCACTCGAAATAATGAAATGCCAACAAAAACCAATAAACAGACAGACTTTCCATTAGCATAAATATGAAAATTTTTTCTCCCTTGACAGTTAATCCATTTGAAGGGTGAGGGTTTGTTAGAAGAAATATCAAATATTTTCTCTTGACGTGAAATCCATAAGTTATGGACTTTGCGAAACAGCAAATGTTTGCTATAAGGTCAAATCAGGCTGCGGCATCGGCGAAAGATTGACAGTTTGAGAAATAAAACCGTGTGTATTTCTTCATGCTGAGATGCCATTCACTTTAGTTACAATGAGTAAGTTTTAGAGTGATAGCCTCTATCGGTACTCCGGGTACACACACACACACACACACACACACACACACACACACACACACACACACATGTACGCGCACAGCAAACATTCACAGGCTTAAAGCGTACATGAGAAAAATGACATATGTGCACAAAGTTAGTCAAACTAAAACAAATAAACTTTTGTTCTTTAAGTTTCTGGTTTAAAAATTGATTCTGGAGTAATGTAGAGTCTATTGCAAAAGGTTTTTCCTCAATAGTGTCAAGAGATTTTTCATTCTCAATGCTCTCCATGAGAAAACAACATACTATTTTAGGGTCTTGTGTTGTATAGCATATGTTAGAATAGTCCCAACAAAGAAAACACACACACATAATTTTAAAACACTTGCAGTCAAAGAAATAATCATTCAAAAAGCAACAAATGATTGCTTTTGTGGTTTTCCTAGAAGGATTATCCTGCTAGTGTGGCTGTTGCTACAAGCTACGTAGCACAAATAATGTGTTAAAAAAATGTAGAATTCAAATAATAATGTGAATAATGTTGAGCTGTGGAGCCAGAAGGCTTGTTTGTTTAGGCCCTGAACCTTGTGACTAAACTGGTTCACGCTGTACTTTAAAGCCATTTACACATCAGCTGTTTTAGTTGTTATACATGATGTCTTGGCAAAGATCATAAATGCTCGTGTAATACTGTAAACTTATAGGATGGCTATAAAAGGACAGCTGTGTTTAAACATACCCAAAACAAAGTTAAAGTAGAAGAAGAAAATGTCATTTCTATAGTGCCTCTCAAGATAAAAATCACGAGGTGCTTCACAAAAACAAAAAATGTAAAAATATAAAAACTAATTTAGAAAATGATTAAAAATATATTTAAAATGAGCCAAAAATAGACAATTGTGATTAAAAATGTTAAGAAAGAGAGAGTGAATAGGAAATAGGGAAATCAGTGGATCCTGAGGAAGGTAGAACAGGTGGGGAGGCAGAATAAAGAGAGAGTGATGAAGAAGGTCATCCAAAAGCCAGCTTGAACAAATGAGCCTTCAGCTGCTTTTTAAAGGAGTCCACTGAGTCCACTGATCTCAGGCTCAGGGGGAGAGAGTTCCAGAGTCTGGGGGCCACAGCAGCAAATGATCTGTCACCTTTAGCCTTTAGCCTGGTGCATTGCACAACCAGTAGTCTTTGATCACTGGACCTCAGGGACCTGCTGGGGGTGTAGGGACTAAGAAGATCACCAATGTAAGATGGTGCTTGTCCATGTAAGGCCCTATAGACCAGAACCAGGATCTTGAAATGAACCCTGAAGTTGACTGGCAGCCAGTGAAGCTGGAGGAGAAGCGGGGTGATGTGGGTGTGTTTGGAGGACTTGGTCAGAAGCCTAGCACAGGCATTCTGAACCACCTGTAGACGGTTCAGGGAGGTTCTGCTCAGACACGTGAAAAGAGAGTTACAGTAGTCTAAGTGTGAGGAGATGAAGGCGTGGATAACTGTCTCAAGTTCAGAGTGGGACAGAATGGGACTCAGCTTAGCAATGTTCCTGAGATGGAAGAAGGAAGAGCGAACAAGAAAATTGACATGAGAATCCAGGGTGAGAGCTGGGTCAAAGGTCACACTAAGATTCCTGACGAAAGGTTTGGTGTGAGAAGCAAGCTGACCAAGAGAGTCTCTGACTTTGGGAACCAGCTTGTCTGAGGATCTCAGTCTTATCTTCATTCAGCTGTAGAAAGCTCCCAGCCATCCAGGTTTTGATAGAGTCTAAGCAGGTGTGTAACAGCTGCAGCTTAGACATCTCATGGGGCTTAAAGGAGATATACAGTTGGATGTCATCTGCATAAAGATGGTAGGAGATTCCTTTGAAGGAGCTCAGGATGTGCTGAAGAGGAAGCAGATAGAGGAAGAGCAGAGGCCCCAGCACAGAACCTTGTGGGTCACCATGGATAAGAGAAGTGGTGGAGGACCTAAACTTGCAGACGGCCACAGTTAAATTGAGTCATGCTTCATTTAAGATCCAAATGGAATAAACAACATTATAGTAACATTCAGTAACAATAATCGGACCATATGTTGCCCAATCCACGAAGCACCAGTCCCTTTTAGTACCTCCTGCTGGTGGTGGGAGATTGGTCTGATGCGACCCCATAAGGAAAACGTAGCCTTCAGTGGGTTTTCAACAAGCCTCTTTCCAGACCTGATCAGAACTCAGGTTTTTTTTAGTTTAGACCCGGTTAACACGGCAAGTTGATTATGCCTATTTTTGATCTGATCCTCGCCTTCCGACAATCTTAAATACACACCAAAAATGACTCTGTAAGCTTTTTTATCTGATATTCCTGCCATGTGAGGTGTGTTCAGAGCCTTCTAGTCTGCTCAGAAGGACATCCGCACCATTCTGATGATGAATGTGAGACTTTCAACGTGTTGGATTGCCTTGTTCCAACTCTGAAGACAAACAAGCAAGCTGCCTGTTGAATGTGACGCGTAGATGATGGACGGATGTTTACTCCAATCTCACAAATGATCTTGTGAGATTTCCCGTTGACCCGGATAATTTTTTGTGTGTGAAATCAGTTGTTTTTTAAATTTTTTTTTTAAATTGTCGGACAATTTTGAAA